GTATATAAAAAAAAAAGCTTGATGGGCATTGTTGTTCTTGTTCTGCTGCAGTGGTGCTGTGTATGGTTGAGTCATTTCATAGAAGTAAAATAGACTGCAATTTACTAAGAAATGGAAGTGCCAGTAACTTGGGAAATCATTTCCAAGGTTTAAAAAAAACCCAGTTCTTTATAACAGAAAGCATTAATTTATGACTTTAACATATATATATATGAAAGCTTTTATCTCCAAGTGTTTCCCTAAAATATTTAAACTCAGCACTTCACCTTCTCTTTCCTGGCCTCCTGTTCCATGAGAGTTTTGCATGTTCCCGTAAGACAATTGTAAAATCAAGGTTTGCTTGTGTTCTTAGAGGATAATTGCCAGTAAAAAAGAAACAGACTGTAAATGTGCTTTTTACCTATAATATTAACAGTAAGTATTAAATTTGAAGCATGTTAAAATTAACTTAATGACACTTATGATTACTCCCTCCAGTGAGCTCATGTGTTGATATCTGCACTATCCCCCTGCTTCTAGGATGCTTGCCTTGGCACCTGAGGGTGCTGTAGGAATAGCCAGATATCCTACATAAGCCAAAGAAAGACCAAAAATAGTTAAATAAATGTTTTTAGGACTACGTTACGAGACTTTTACACACCTTCTGTTCTCTTTAAACATACTCATGTAAGACAGTGCAAAGGCTTGGGAAAGACGAGCTTTACCAGCTACTGAAAAGCAGAGGGAAGTCTGCAGGAGGCAAGAGTCACACTGATGCTCCAGGACTCGTTTAGCCCAATTTAGGTTTGAGATAATGCCACAGTCATAGTTCATGAGCTGAAGAATGAAGGCACCAGGGTTGAGCTGAAGTTCAAGCAGCTCTGCAGCCTGATTACTGGGGGGTGAGTTAATTGTTAAAAGTATGTATTGTTTTGCTTAGCTAATAGTCATCTGGGGTTTACAGCAAAGTAAACTTCATGGCAATGCACAAGCCAAGGCACAGTGGGCAAATACAAGAGCCATGGGGCTGCTGCCAGCCCTGTGGCGTGCGGAGAGGGCAGGAAACGCCTTGAACTTCCCAAGTGAAGCTTTCACTCCTTTTTCACTCCATGTTACACATCCATAGGTGACCTAATTTTCCAGCCTGAGCGGTGCAGAAGAGTGCATGATGTGCCATGACAGCTTGCATATGTGCTGTTATATTTAAAGATGCCTTCACTTTTTCCTTGCTGCACCGCAGGGTACTGCTGTAAGGGCAGCCCATGGTCCACGCTGGGTGGAAACTGCTGAGCAGGGGAGGGATGAGAGAGGGAAAGATGCTCCAATGCTCCAGTTAACCAGATTGGGGGGGGGAATCAGGAGAAAGGTAGAGTGTGCTTCTGCAGGTTGGTGCTCATTTCTGCTTTGTTTCCAGTGTCTTTGGAATAATCAGGAGGAAAAGTGGTACCCTGCACCACTTCCTCATGGGATGCAGTGACAAGAGTAGGGCTCTGGCTGGGATTCTGCTGCCAGCACAGGGTCACAGTGTTGTGTAACCCCCAGACAGTGATGTCCTGACCTGATGGCCAAACCCCTGATGTCACTGGGGCCCATAAGGCTTACCTGATGCAGGTGCAGTGCTTTGTGGGGATGAAACACACTTGCATTAGCCTTTGCAAAGCAACACTAACTGACACCATTTACCTGGGTCAGTTGTTTGATCCTTTCATTCACCTGCTCTTTTTAAATGCCTGCAGTGTTCCCAAATACTCTTAATTCTCCCCACTTGATCTCTTGTCTCCACCCCATTGATTATTAGTGGCTTTCTCCTCCTCTGGAGAGCCAGGTGAAGATCTCCATTGTGCAGGCACTGTCATCCACCCAACCGCCAGCATTTTCTTCACCACCATGCTGCCACCTTGCCAGCCACTCCCGTGAAGGGGATTTATTGGTCCAAACCAGCATCATGGTCTGAGGGAGCATGGAGATTCCTGGTGGGTTGGTTTTGGCCAAAGCAGGCTGTGTGCACCATGGGTGGTTGTTGTGGGATGCTCATTCGGAGGGTCCCTGCATGGAGCATCCTTTCGCTCCTCAGCCCACTAGCCTCATGGAGATGCCCAGATGAACAGAGATAGATGTGTAGGTTGTGCAATAATGTCTGAATATTTATTCTTTTTATGGCAATAATGTCTAGGGTCTCTGGGCATGGGTGCACTGTGGTATAAGGTGTTGCCCCAAAATAATCCTTTTCCTAAAGAGTTAATAATTAAGTATTAATGCAAAGTAAGAAGTATATAGGGTTTTTATTGTAGGCTGAAACTATTTAGAGTGGTTTTGTTGCAAGGCTGATTACTGGCTGGGGCGTGGGGAGGTGGGGGGAATTAGTGTTATACAGCTGGAACTGGGGTTTCACAGCTCAAAAATCTGCTGGTTGTGCATGTGAAGCTCCCTTGCTCCTGCAGGGCGTGGGCTATCCCCTTCTCCTCTTGCATCTACCCGCAGCTTGCTGCAGCTGAGCCCCTCAAGCAAGAAAGCTTTTAGTCTTTGCCCTGAGCTCAGCTGCATGTGTTTGCTGCATCATTTGCCTTTTGTTTGCTGCCTCTCATGTGCTCCAGGGTTCAGCTTGGCTTGGCTCTGACTTGGTCTGCAGTTGCCCAAACCCCTCCAGAGGACAAAAGCCATTAATTCCCAACAGAGCAGCTCTGCTGGGTTGTGGTAATGGCATCAGATCGCTAGAATTACTGCTGGTCTGCAATGCCTGTGGCTGTAACACCCTCTGGCTGTCTCGGGCAGTAAAGGCTGTATCTGCCCGCAGCCTCTGCATGTACCTGCGCTGCACTGGGAGGATCACACAGAGAGCAGCTCAACAGCTCAGCTCAACACTCCCATGTGCCAGTACAGGGAAGTCTGGGCTTGAAATTAGACTGGATTATCATTGCTGCTCTCAAGCAAGGAATGTTAAATAGGGTGTTTGAGGCTGCTAAAGTAAAGCTCCTGTTTGCAGCTTTGTGCATTTCCTGCATTGCAGCCAGCAAGGCAGCGTCCCAGCCTGTCACTAGACGGGGCTCACTTTGTGCTAGTGCTGGAAGGTGCTCCATGAAAAGAAGCCTTCTTGGTTGCCACCACATCAGCAGGTAGACTTTTTCCACCCCTTGTGTCTAGACTTAACTCCTAGCAATGGTAAAATCTGTCACACTACTTCTATAAAGGGGAATAACCATTCTGAGCGAAGTGACTGATAGCATCATGCTTCTGCTTACCCAGTCAGCCCTGCTGCAGTTTGCAAGTAGATGTTGAATACTAAACGCTTCTCATGGCCTGCTTGAGGCCATGGCTAGCTATGCATAGAACACACTGGAACTGCATCATTTCATCCCAGCAGAGAGGGGACACCAAAACCTTTGGGCCTTTGGGTGTGGGAGAGAGACTGCAGCAAACAACAACAGAAAGAACAATTTGCCTGCGTGTAAAATGAAGTCTCTTTCGACTGGCTCGCTGCAAGGTGGACAACAGCAGTGTGACCACACCACCCGAAAATGCCAGCAGCTACCAGGGGTCTGGCCAAGGAACGGGGACACTGCAGGGACACAGGCACGGCGGGTGGTGCGGTGCCCTCCAACAGTCAGATCCTCACAGCCCTTGTGAAACTGTAGCTTGACAGCAGCAGAACTTCTTGACATGTTTTGATGTAAGTATAACACTGTATTGTAGTTACGTGGTATATGCCAATATGTTAACAGTGCATACTGGTTAGTTAGGGTTTACTAATGTACTACATTTCAATAAAAAGCAATTTAAAAATACAGAGTTTGTGAGCTTGGTGTCTCTCAAAATACAGGGGGATGAAAGCATCACCCAGTGACTCCTGTCCCTCTAGTATTTAAGGAATACATCTTTTATATATATATATATATATATATATATATATATAGTATAGAACAGCATTGTCGAAGGATCCATTTTCAGAGAGGATTTTTCCTACTCTGCCATAAATACTGTTTTATTTTCCTATAATAGTGCCTGGAAATCTCAGGCCATTAAAAGCCACATGGTTCAAAGCGGTTTATGACTATACAGGAGACACTAATCCACCTTCCCACAGTGTTTTGCCACCTGACAGATGGCACATAGCGGGCAGGAACAGAGATAGTAACACAGGGAAGGCTCCTTCAGCACCTTCTGCCAGTGCTTGAACCCTTCCTGCAGCACATCCAGCCTTCAGAAACCACCGTGCGGCTCCCAAATACAGCCACGCCATTGAGATGAAGGTAGAGCCCTGAAAGATGAGCCAGCTAATAAATATTTATATTGCAGTAGTGTACAAAGGCTCCAGCAGGGATTAGGGCATTACACTAACACAGAAGATAGATCATCCCAGGGTTAAAGGATTTATAGGCTAAAGAAAACATGGCATTCCCGCCTTCCTGGGAGCCAGGTAATAATCTCTGACACGGTGAATGTCAATGTTTAAACCAAGAACAGCGGTTCAGTGGGACACTGATCTGCAGCCAAGAGATGAGGAGGACCCACATCTGCTTTCCTGTTTGCTGCAAAGATCATCCTTGGACTTGATCACAAGCCCTGTGTGGGCTCCAGAACGGCAAAACAAGGACTTAAAGCTGACTGTAGCCCCCTACACCGGGAGCTCCCTGCTAATAAATTACTGCATAAACTACAATGGGAGGGAGCACTTCAATAATCTTGATTGACAGCAGCTTCAGTGGGTCCCGTGGGGCTGCACAGGAAGATGAATATTCATGTGCCTGGTGTTTTGCTATATAAGCACATTACCCTATTGAAACTTGAACTGCCCTAGCAAAGATCTTTTCAGTGCAGGGTGCCACCGAGAAGCAGCGGAGGGGACCCCAGCTGCCCACCGAGGACGGGGCAGGCAGCTGGCACTGGACCCCTTCACCTCCGGGGACTGGGGTTCGAACCCAGCACCTCTCCGCTCCAGCGCCGCAGCGGCAGCCTGGCACCGCCCCGCTGCAGTGAGGGGGCCCGCACGCCAGAGGGCGCCGTGGCTCCGCCGTCGCGGCCCCGTGACCCGGCGGCGCGGCCCGGCTGCTTCCCCGGCGCCGCCTCCCCGCTGCGGCCGGGCCCGGCCCAGTGCCGCGCTCCTCCGCTCCGTGCCTCTCCACCGCAGCGGCCCCGCCGCGATGTGGCTGGGGCCCGAGGAGGTGCTGCTGGCCGGCGCGCTGTGGGTCACGGAGCGGGCCAACCCCTTCTTCTTGCTTCAGCGCCGGCGGGGACACGGCAAAGGGGGCGGCCTCACGGGTGAGCCGCGGCGGGGCTGAGGGGAGGCTCCGGCCCGGCCACAGCGGGGAGGCGCTGCGGGGGCAGCGGGGGGATGTCCTGCCCCGCTGCTGTGTCCCTGCAAGGCCCGGTCCGGAGGGCGCTGAGGGGCTCCCTGACCGCGGCGCGGGCTCCGACAGGGCCGGGCGGGAGCTGCCCGCCTCGGTACGGCGGCGGGAGCGGGAGGGAGATGGAGGCCCCGGCGGCTGGGGTGAGCCCGTTCCGTCCGACGGGGTCTGTGCGGCGCCTGGCGCTGCGGCCGGGCCTCCCCTGCGTGCTGATGCACAAGGGAGGGTGAATAATGGTGCCGGGGGCGGCTGGGGTGACCCTCTTCGCTTGCCAGGAATGGCTCCTCTGTCATCCTCGCGTTGCCTGGAATTGCCGAGTTGTTTTCTTTATGCGTTTCCCCCAGAATTAGAGGATGGAAGTGAGATGTGGTTTTAAACTAATACCTTCACCAAAACTGCTGTGCCTGGGTCAGGGGTGAAGTTGTGTGGGTGCCCGATAGCGATGGAGCAACCCCAGTGCGTGTGTGTGGCTGATACCCTGTTTGCTCACAGAAACTGTTACAACAATGTCGCAGTGACCAAGGCACAATGTTAACAACACCACAGCAGTCCCCTCACTTTTAAAACACCCCGTTCATGGGCAAAATGCTGACAGAGTTACATGGATAACCAAAATGTGCTTTTTACATTTGTGCGTTGCACACAACCAGGTTCACGCATTAGCCCTGTTAACCAAACACACTGACTGCAGAAATGGCACAAGCTGATAGACACCCTTAGCGTGTTTCAGCTGTTCACAGTGTTCAAAACTGTTTTGAATTGCTCTGTTTTATGCAGCATAACTTAATTGTCTAATTTCACATGTAGCCATGTAGGTATTCTGGAGTTCCCCAGGTTCTTGCAAGAAGCAGTGATGCCTGGTGCTGTTTTGGAAATGTTTGAGCTGATCTCTTATTGGAAGCTTGGAGCCAGTTTACTTCCTGAGCTAGTTTAGCTCAGTAAGAGAGTCTTCTTCAGAGCTCTTACATGTGAAAAGCCACGTGTCCTCCTTACGGAGCTGTACAGCTGCAAGTTGACATTTTAGAGGTAGAATGTAGATACTCATCCTGAAAGCTGGAAAGGTGTTTAAGTAAGTTGCTGTTGTACTTAGATTCTTAAACATGTCAATGTGTCTTCACTGATCCATGTGCCAATATTTGACATGTTTGTTATTGTTATAAGAAGTATGCAAAATGGCTTTTTAACACCCATTCTGTCTAAAACTGTACACAAGAAACCTGGAGCCAAAATTGAGATCCTGCTGTGCTGGATACATACGTATTTGGTTTAAGGATTACTAGATGAGCTTGCTGTGGATGGCATTTCTGTTGAACTGTGATCAGTGGTATATTCCTAGTCTATTACTTGCTTTTGGATAGCCAAAGGAGATAAAGGGGAGGAAGTAGCGTGTTTCATGATAACGAATGAGATATGGTTTCATGATAACGAATGAGATATGGGTGGGACTTGCCCAAGCCATACAGAGGAGAGCAGGGGGATTGAGCCTGGGCCTCCCAAATAGAGATCGAGAGGAAGAATCATGCTCTCCAAGTTCTAATGTTAGAAAACTTCTAATCATGAGGAAGTTGCAAAACTAATTTGCCTTAAAAATGTTCATAGTACATTATGTAGAATAACAAAGCAAACTATCATCTTAGATATTTGATTTATCTAGAAAATAGAGTGAATTGAAATATATGGGTCTGCTTTACAAAGTTGCTGTCAGTATTTAGTCTGGAAGTGCTTCCTTTTTTATTTAGCATCATGTACAAAAAATACTTGAACTTCTGTATTGCCAAATTCCGATTCTCTCCTTCTGTCTTTGTTTAATCAAAGTACTTCCAGAAACAACACTGAAACCTGTGAGTACCAGTTTTTCTGGAGCTGCTTGATTCCAGTTTGGATGAGTTATCTTACCTGCTGTTTGCATAGGTGATGCTGAAATATACAGCATTGAAAACTCTTTTGTGTTTTAGTTTAGTGGGCTTAAAAATCACTATTGGCAACAAAATCCCCACAAAGGAAATTACATTTCATTTGTATTAGAAAACTCTCCTAGGAAGGCAGAGGAATATAATGAGGTTTAGGAGATACTTAATTGCCATCTAAACTTTCTCCATTACCAGTGGGATTGGCTGTAGTTGGTTTATAGGTAATTTGCCTGCAGTGGCTGGATGTGCGTCTTCATTGTCTCAACCAGGTGCCGTTGTTCTTCTGTCACAGCATAGGTCATAGGAACATCATTTTTCCCTAGTTTTCAACCCTTATTTTTAATTAACCCAATTCTTCATTTTGGTAATACATTGTTTTAATTTCTCCCTCTTTGCCTCCTAGGTCTTCTTGTGGGAACATTAGACGTGGTTTTGGATTCCAGTGCCAGAGTTGCCCCATACCGTATTCTGCACCAGACTCAGGACTCTCAAGTGTACTGGGCAGTGGCATGTGGTATGTAGTGATGTGACTCTTGTTGGAGGCTGAATTTTTATTATTCTGTTGTCTTTTTGGTTCAGATAATCAGTGATCCCACATCTGTAATAGATTTGTGGATACACTATATCTGTATAAAACATTACAATAATAGTTTTTTAAAACATCAGAAATCTTTGGTTTCCTTTACTTGAGAGGTGATCATGGTACAACCTCCTAATATCTGCTGATAAACTTTGATTAAGTTTTTTAGGTCCTGCTGGTTGCTAAAGAGAAAGGTATCTTCGGACGTATTTGTTAGACCACTTCTGTTTATAATAAGAATCTTCACTTCTCACTTTGTGGTTGAGACATAAAATTTGAGCATGAGGTGACTATGTGCTAAGCCCAGACATCTTGATGTCTTGTTTTCACTGTTTCTGTCTTCTCCCCAGGCAACCACCATAATATTCTCCCTTGCAGAGCTACTTAAATTCTGCTGAAACAAGGTTTAGAAGTTGCTGTGTTTCACAGAAAGTTTCCCTTTTGAGGAAGGAGGAGGCAGAGAGGAAGAAAGAAACAAAATGGCAGGCCAGAAACTGCGTAGAAAAAAGCAGAATATTTAGTGGCCACATATGGCGCAAATCTGAAATTTTATAGTATCTTAACACGAATGGGTGTGTTATTTTTATGCAATACCAGGAGTGTTTTAATTGATATCCTCTATATCTCAGTTACTTTTAAGAAATGAAACATGATAAAATGAGCTGAGCTATCTAACAACTGAATGGAGTTTGATAAATAATTATACAGGAGTAGATGCATTGTCTTCATCCAGAGTATTTTTGTAATTATATCTGGTTCTCATTTGATTGTCAGAGTGAAATTACTTAAAGTTATAAAATGTATATGGTTCTCCAGTTGAAAAATGTGTACTTTTTATGTACAATTCATCATATGTAAATACTAGTGGCAGCATTCTGGTGATACACACAGCTTTGGCCTTACAGCCAAAGGTTCCGGCCTTCGTTCTTACAACTCTCTCTGTAGGAATTGGTTTACTCGTTCTTGTATGCAATTTTAATGTTGTTCTTAGATGTCAGTTACTGAGGCCTGGCTCATTTTAGCAATTTGCTGCGACTTGGTGAGAGATGCAGCTCCTGAAACAAAACAAAACTCAGACTTTTATTCCCCTGCCATTGTTGCTGGACCTGTGGAGAATTTTTGACAACCAAAGTATCCTATAGTTGATAATTCTGTGACCTTAAAATAAGCCATTTTGTATTACTCGAAATCATTAGTGCTTTAAAAACACTGTCAGATGGCTAGCACAGATGTCAAGTAAACTTACTGTTGCCTGATCCATTGGGCTGTACACACAGACTCAAATTCAAAGCCCTGCAGTGCTTTGAGACAAGACAGCTTACTTGCTTCTAGTTTTTAGTTTCAGTTCTTGGAGTTATTTCTACTTATGAAACCACAGATTAGGTGGTGTTGGGCTTTGCGGTTAGGTGTCCAACTGCAAATACGTGAAGAGTGTTTCATTGCTGAAGCTGCCTCTTAAAGTCAGGTAGAGCAGTAGCTTTAGGGAACAGCTTGGGTGTCTGCTGCTGTCTTCTCTTCCATTGTTAACCACAGGGAGAGGTGTAGTGTACTCACAACGAAACCAGGTAGAGGGAGGCGTGCTGTTAACTTTTTTAGATATCCCACTGCTCTTGCGTAAAACTTCAGAAGGTGAATTTACTGGAATTTGGCAAAGAGAAACTTAAAAATGTCTTTGACTTGTGTTTAAACAGGTTTCTTTTTCTCTGCACTGAACCATGTCTCTTGTTAAGAATATAAATTGTTTTTTAATTTTTCTGCATTTTTTCTGTCTGCAAGAGACCACAGTGATAGCTGTCCACAGAGAGGAGGAAATCTTTTAGTAAACACAAATCTTTGAAATAATGTCAACTAAGGTAACTTTCTATAGAAAAGTTCTTCAAATTGGTTAGAGAGTGCAGCTTGTCCTTTGTGAGCTGTTGTAGATGGTTAAAGACAACGAACTAGTAGGAAGTTTGGTGAGACCTTTTTACTTAGGAAAGTAAAACACTTTGACATGAATATTTGCTTGCTTTTTGTTTTGGAATTTTATGCTTTTTGCTGACCATTGAGCATGGAATACGGGACCTCTTTGTAGGTGTAAAAGGTTCAGTTCTTCTGTAGGTGCAAAAACTTCAGGATTCTACTGAAAGTTAATTATTTTTGCTCCACAATACCAGGAACTAAAAGAGATTTTCTTGTCTGGAACATAAGAACACGTTTTATCTGGGGAAAAAAGCTGTGTTTGGTGTGCGCTGGCAGATAGGGTGGTCTGTTGGTAGTGTTATTGTCCTTGGTGGCAGTGGAGATATTTCATTAGAAACATAATGGTATACATAAAATATCCTTGACATGTATGCGGTTATTGTGTTTGATTTCTCTTCATCACTGTTTGGTAATTATTAGTTTCCTGCTGTGAACTTGGGGGGCAAAATAAGACCATGTTCTAATTTCTTTTTTCTTTGCTCTTCCCATCATCTTTCACCCCTTCAATTAGGGTCATCCCGTAAAGAGATCACAAAGCATTGGGAATGGCTGGAGAATAACTTACTGCAGACTCTCTCCATCTTTGATAATGAAGAAGATATCACCACCTTTGTGAAGGGCAAGATACATGTAAGTGACACATTTCCCTGAAGGACTTCCAGATCCTGAGAAAGAATGAGGAGGTGGCTTTAAGGATTTTTTACCGGAGGGAGGGAGGGAGGAAGAGCTCCATTGCAAAACTTCTCCCTGCTCCCTTTTCAGACACATACATTTGAAATTGTCATGGAATATATATGGTATTATCAGCATCATGTTGCAGTCATAACACTGGCCAAAGGTATTTGTGTGAGGGAAAAAGTTACAAGCAGTAGATCTCAGGGAGCAGGCTGCTTAGGATGCTCTTACTAATTAAAATATACCTCTTTAAAATCCTTGCTGATTATACCTTTGATGCAGAGAGAATGTTTAACAAGGATTCATCTAGCAACAAATACAGCAGGGAGAACTCTAGTTTGCAAGTAATACACTTGTCCTGCCACAGTGCTCTAAAAGGCATGTAAGTTGTAAAGAAACTGCACCCCAATTTCCACTGCCTTCTGGGTCAGACGGGTGTCTGCTTGTTGTGCAAGGAACCCACTTCAGATTCCCAGCCCACAAATTCTCCAGAGTAGAAACCTATAAATACAGTTTGCTATTGAACAGCAGCAATTTGAGTCTTTTTCAGTACTCCTGTCAGACTGTTTGTATTTTCTGTGTGCGAGAGAGATTGTGGTCATTTGTGTTTTCCTTCTGGCCAGTCAAGATCTGACAGACTGTGGAGTTCTGCTCTTCCTGGCAGATGATCTTCTTCCTGTTGAAGAAGCATGTATGCAAGTGAAAACAGACTTCAGTTCTCCTGCAGGGTGTTCAAAGTGTTACCAGGCCAGCCAGGAGAAACTCAGTCAAACGTTAAATGTGAATGCTTGCTGCATGTGTTCAGGAATGGATCCCAGATCATAGACTCTCAGGCTATCTGGCTGCTCTTTCTACATGTCTTTACCATTTCTCTAACATGACAGGAGAAATGGTAACTGTTGTGTCGTGTTTCTTCTTTCTGTCTTCCGGATTGCTGCTGTGACCTTTTGCTGTCCATTATGTCTGTCAGCAGGCATGTTGCCTTCTGTTACTTCTCTCATTTCTTCCCCCTCTCCTCCCATGTCCTTTCAGGGAATTATTGCTGAAGAGAACAAGAATGAGCAGCCCCAGAGTGAAGAGGATCCAGGTAAATTCAAAGAGGCTGAACTGAAAATGCGGAAGCAGTTTGGGATGCCCGAGGTGGAGAAGTTGGTCAATTACTATTCCTGCAGCTATTGGAAAGGCCGTGTACCCAGGCAGGGATGGCTGTACCTCACTGTCAATCACCTCTGTTTCTACTCCTTCTTGCTGGGCAAAGAGGGTGAGTTGCAAGCCTGATAGTTGTTTTTCTGACATTTACCATGAACTTTCTGATGCAGTTGATCTTGTGTGTGACCTTTTTTAAGATGACAGCCTTTTTTCCCTTTTAGGAATCCTTTGGGCTCTAGCTCAATGCACAGATCAGTCCTTACACTCATAGGCACTTCAGGGATGTTTAGACTGAATACCTAAGTCAGTTGTTGTACAAGTACAACCAAAGTTTTACATAAACTGGATTGGAGAACCAAGCAGTATTTTTACCTTGGTGAGTTTTATTTGGAACCACCACCAGGATCCAGTATTTACAGAGCCTGAACTCCTGAGTTAAAAGCTAATTTGCTGGAAAGAAAGAGTGAAAACTTGAGTAATTGTACTTGAAGGCATTTACTGGATAGGAGATAGTCCTTTTGTAACTGCATTATTTCTAGTCTAGTTAATCACAAGGATTACTTCCAAGTATTTTTGGTGAACCCAGTAAAAGAATTGTCCATGTGTAAGCAGGGGAAAAAATGCTGCTACACTGAGAGCTTAATGGCCCCTTGAGCCTCATTTCTGATTGTTGTTTTGCCTCAAATGGTAATATAGGGGTTTTAATCTTTTTTTTTTCCCAGTTACACTGGTGATCCAGTGGGTGGATGTAACCCAGCTAGAAAAAAATGCCACGCTGCTGTTCCCTGAGTGCATTAAAGTAAGCACAAGGGACAGTGAACTTTATTTTTCCATGTTTCTCAACATCAATGAGACATTCAAGCTGATGGAGCAGTTGGCTAATATTGCTATGCGGCAGCTGTTGGATAATGAGAGCTTCCTACAGGACAAGTCTCTCCCGAAGCCCAGGAAGCCTCTTAAGAACATCTCTGCATTAAAAAGGTATGTGTTTCCAGCAGTGAGGAAACAAGACAAATAACAGGGGATTGTTATAATAAATCTGCATTACTGTGTAGCTCCCAGTGACCTCTGGGATTTTCTCGCTCTGGCTGTATCAGTTATTCCTAGCATTAGACTTCTGCCTGATCTTTTTTTCTTCCCATCCCAAACTGGTACTGAAATCACATACACCCTCATGTCTTACTCATGCATGAGTAGGCATGGTCAGGAGGAATTTTCAACCACAAACTGTTGAAAATCCTGTTAAAAAATAAGTGAAAGAAGAAAATTACATCAGCCCCATTGTCTGAAGTTGAAGGTTTCTAAAAAGTAATACACATTTGTATTGTAATAAATCCTGCTGCTGGGGACTGCTCTCTGCACTTGCATATTTTATCTTGTATTGCAGGACATACATTGTCAGTGAAGCATGTCTGAAAGCTGAAAGTGGAGTCAGATAAAGGGTGGAATCTCAGTTAGAGAAATGAATACTAAGAATACACAGCACAGTCTGAAGGTTGTGATTGGAGTCAACAATTAACATTAGTGTTGGAGTGGGTTTTTCCAGTGAGAAAAAAACTGTGGATTACTCTTTACTTTTCTTCAGAGACCTGGATGCTCGAGCCAAAAATGAGTGCTACCGTGCCACTTTCCGGTTGCCTAAGGATGAATGCCTGGATGGACACACAGATTGTACCTTGTGGACACCATTCAACAAGATGCATATTCCTGGCCAGATGTTTGTTTCCAACAATTACATTTGTTTTGCCAGCAAGGCAGAGGAGGCCTGTCATCTCATCATTCCTCTCAGGGAGGTAGGGATTTCTTACCTGTGTATTAAAACTATAGGCCTTTCTTGTCTTGTGTGCTTCTGTCTTTTGTGCAGTGCTTTATAGATCATAGAGAATCTCCTAGATCCAAATGGCCCTTGTCTTTGTCTTCTAGGTGACAATAGTTGAGAAAGCAGATAGTTCCAGTGTCTTGCCCAGCCCTCTGTCCATCAGCACTAAAAGTAAAATGACCTTCTTCTTTGCCAATCTGAAAGACCGAGATTTCTTGGTACAGAGAATCTCTGACTTCTTGCAGAGAACACCATCCAAGAAGCCATGTGGCAGCGACAGGGAATGGAAGTGGAATTCGGCTGATCCTGGTTGTGAGGTACTAAGGGAATAGCGGGCAGGAGCATTTGTCAGCTTTTCAGAATAATGCTTGTTACAGTGTTTTAACAGTGCTCCTTACCAGCAAATGCTGTCTCTTTGTTAGACAATTAGCAGAGGAGGGAGGCTGCCTGAGCTCAGCTGCTTTATGTTTTGTTGTTCAGGAGGTTCCAGAGTTGCCTTCCAGCAGCCCACTTGCTGTTAGCCCTGTGTCTGCTCTCAGCAGTCGACCTATCAACTTCTGTGCCGGGGAAGTGCCAACAGCCTCACAGGGACTACTCAAACTCTTCAGAAGAAATTCCGAGGAGCTTTCAGGACCCAAAGGGGTAAATAATATTTTAACTTAAAAGAATTAACTCTAGTTTGCAGTAGGTTGCAGATTTTCTGTCCTGGTCTGACTTAAAGTTCATTTTATCCCTAGTCAGTCCTGCAGTATCACTGCTTTGTCTGTCACAGTGACAGTGCTGCATAGATGTAACCTGACCCTCAGCTTGCTTTATGAGTACTGAGATACCCGAGATGCTTCACTAGAGGGTGAGAAATAAGTGATACTGTGTTTCTGGGATGTAAATTCATGTCTGCGAAGAACTGCTTTTCTTCAAATCAAGAAAGGAGGTCTCTGCTTGCTAGTTAATCATCTTAGGCCATGGTTCTCCTTGTGTTTATGTGCAGGTTTGCAAGGTGTGATGCCATTGCACAGCCCATGTTAGTGTTTCAAAGATTTGACTTTAAGTGAGGTCAGAACTGATTCAGAACAGTGTAGGTTAGGATGCACCTGTTCATTCAGGCAGAAGAATAAAGGCTTCAAATGTCACAATGCAGTGCATTTCTCTTGTGAAGTGTAGGCCTGAGCATACCCAGAAATTACCTGTCCTACAAACATAAAAATGCATTAATCTCCTAAAACGGCCATGTTTGTTTCTGTGAAGGCAAAGGAAAAGATGAAAGAAGAGTCTTGGAACATCCATTTCTTTGAATATGGGCGAGGCATGTGTATGTATCGCACTGCCAAGACAAGAGAGCTGGTGCAAAAAGGAATCCCAGAGAACCTTCGTGGAGAATTGTGGCTCCTTTTCTCAGGTAGGGTGTTGTGCTGCATATTTTGACAGCTATTAAGAATAAGCTTTCTGCACATCTCAAAGGAAAAGGGATAAATCTTAGCTCATTTCAGAATAAATTAATCACAAGTTAACTCCCATCTGAATGATACATTTCACGGTGGTGGTGCCAAAAATGCAGAGATCGCATTCCTGACATTACGGGTTTTTATGAGTGTAGAAGCTCTTTAGCTTCTTTTGTCTGCGTTTGTGTTGGGACCTAGACTCTTAACATGATGATTTCACAATGAGTTTGTTACTGTCATATCTATTCATAGTTAATGAATTCGTGCAGTTCTTCCTGGCTGCCTCATCTCTGAAACTGTGGGTATAAAATCTGTATTCTAGAGCTCAAAAGGTGAAGCAATATTTATTTGTCATTACAGGGGCTTGGAATGAGATGGTGACTCATCCTGGTTACTATGCAGATCTTGTGGAAAAGTCAATGGGAAAGTACAATCTTGCTACAGAAGAAATAGAGAGAGATCTGCACCGTTCTATGCCAGAACATCCTGCCTTCCAGAATGAGCTGGGAATTGCTGCCCTCCGCAGAGTGTTAACAGCTTATGCATTCAGAAATCCAACAATTGGGTACTGTCAGGTAAGAAAGAAGCCTTAGACTTGTTAGGTCTACATGATGACCATGATTGACTTGATCTTTTTCTGCAGGTTTTTTTTAAGTTTCAAGCTTTTTCTTCATGCTGTCCCACATGGTGGTGTGAGGGCAGGAAAAGTGGTGATGTTGCAAGATCTCTTAGCTATCCCTTGGATATAGCAGTTAAATAGACTCTGCAGATTTCTGTTAGGTGTAGTGAAAGTCTTTTATGAGTTTTCCTGTTAGAGCTTTCCCTAGCTCAGGAAAAACATCGAATGGTTTCATGGAAAAGAGCAATTGGATCCAATAAGTGATGACGAACATAGGCAGTATATTGACAACCAAGCCGGTTGCTCATTTCTGAAACAACTCAGTGGAAATTCAGATTCATTTTGTGTATTGCTCTGGTATTAGGCATTCTATTATATTGTTCTATTACAATCAAATTGTTAAAAAGCTTTTTATGAAAACTGTGAAAATTGTAGTTAGTCACACTGATTGATCTAAATGCTTGACAAAAAGTAATTATATTACTTGCTGCCTCACAAACAGAGGAACTGAAACAGGAAGGTAAATTGGCTCAAGGTCATCTGTTGACACAGATACCAGTAAAAGTTGGAAATGGATGTGACTCTTAGTGACAGTTTTGCTGTATTCATGCTTTTTAAGTTTAGCTGGTCTGTAATGACAGAGCTTTCATGAACATCTTCATCTTTTTCTCCTCTGTGCATTTTACTGTGCTGGCTCGTAGGCCATGAACATCGTTACATCAGTACTGCTGCTGTACTGCAATGAGGAAGAGGCTTTCTGGCTCCTCGTGGCTTTATGTGAGAGGATGTTGCCAGATTACTACAACACAAGAGTAGTCGGTGAGTCTTTCTCAAATTCACGCTGGAGCCTGGATTTTTGAGCTTCAGCTGCACCAGCATCTCTCAGTAGCATTTTGTTGTTCAGAATGGATTAAATATGGTGCATTTTTAAGATGATGAAGAACAACCTTTAAAGTTGCAGGTGTTTAATGGAGATATAAGAGGAGACACTACAGGCTACCAAGGTAGCAGTACTACCTTGTAGTAACAAGGAAGATGAAGTCACTAAAAATTGATATCAGGAGGGACCATTAGCAGTAAAGATGCATATCTAGAAGAAGATTATTGGGTTATTTTTTACCCATCTGAATGGTTTATTAAGTCTTTGGAATAGGCTCCCAGGAAAGGTTAGTGAAAGCTCCGCTTCATGAGCTTTTAAGGTTGGTCTGTATAAAAGAGTAGTTTGATGAAAATACCATAATAACAGTAGTTCTCCACTCATTCAGGGTAAATGCATTCAGTGATCAGTGGGAGATTTTATTTCTGCATGCTCTGCAATGTAGAAGTAGTATCTGTCTAAATATGTTTGCTTTATTGAGGAGAGAAATCTAAAGAAGTGTATCCGTTTTAGTTCTGATATTAAGAGGCTTATATGAAATCAAAGTGAACTCATGATATTTTAATAATTGATTAGCTAGTGTAGTACCATGATACCACCAGTTTGAATTCTACCATTGTTTTTGTTTGTTTTCCAGGTGCGTTGGTTGACCAAGGCATCTTTGAAGAGCTTACACGAGAGTATCTGCCACAGCTGTCAGAAAAGATGCAGGACCTAGGAGTTATCTCCACCATATCCCTTTCCTGGTTTCTCACTCTTTTTCTCAGTGTCATGCCCTTTGAGAGTGCCGTGGTCATTGTCGACTGTTTTTTCTATGAGGGAATCAAGTTCATCTTACAAGTGTCATTGGCCATACTTGATGCCAACATGGAGAAGTTGTTACAGTGCTGTGATGAAGGTGAAGCCATGACTATTCTGGGCAGGTACCATTCATTGTTCTTATTTATAATGGAATAGTAATGGTACCCTTTTAGCCATCATCCCTTCCTACTTAATTCCCTGACATAGCAGGTCACAGATAACACTTTAGTTGCAACTTGAGCTCCAGAGAGTTTTGCTATTGCTATCTACAAGAGCTGAAATTGAATTACAGCTCAAGTGTGAAGGAATCCCATATTTCTGGAATTGTTTGCTTTGCAGTATAATGCATTCCTGCATCCCAGTTTAAATTTGAACTCCAAAGCATTGTTTATCTGAAATTCACTGACAAATTCTAATCTGTAATATGAACATATCCTGGCAGGAATTGCCTGGATAACAAAACTTTATCAAGCAGATATCTCCCAAATCTAGTAAATACAGTATTTTTCTTGTTTGAAATGTGAATCTCTTCTATGTGTGCAGCAAGATCTTCAGCTTACAACTAAAAGCTCACTTTAAAAAGAGTAGGTACTCCCCAAAATAGGGTGAAAATCAACTTCAGATTCATTGAGTGTAGCATTGCAGGTTAGCTGGGAAAAATTAAATTGCCCTACATGTTTAGATTAATGATACAAAGAAGTTGGGAATTACGTGTTTAGGATATGACTTCTTTTCCTGGACTCTAATCCTGGAGTCTTGCATCTGTTCTGTTTATTTCCCCACAGATATTTGGACAATGTAGTTAACAGACAAAGTGTCTCTCCTCCTATTCCCCACTTGCATGCTTTACTGACAAGTGGAGATGACCCACCACTGGAAATCGATATCTTTGAGCTCATCAAAACATCCTATGAGGTAAGGTTCTGGCTTAGTTTTTGCCCAAGAGACTTTTCTCTAGTAACATCCAGTTTTATACTTTGTGCAGCCTGAATCTGAACAATGTTCACAGCTTGAGGTGTTTAAGTTCAGGCTCAAGCCGTTAATCCACATGTTTGGTATGAGTGAAGACTTAGCGCTGTTGGCTACTGCAGATTACAAAGAGTCTCCCCAGCACCAGTGGAGATTAAAATGAAGATTGCAAATAAGTAAAAATTGCATACCAGAGATTTCTTCCTGCTTTGCTAAAAAATCATCCATTCTTACTCATATTTGGGGATTGTCAGTGCTATGGATTTAGGGAAAGAAATTAAGGATAAAAATGGCAAGGTATACTGCAGAAACATGGAAGCATCCCTATTCACGTGCACAGGAGTCCTGTGCTGGGATCCAAGTTACAGTAATAGGAAGGTGACCTGTTGAAATACCTCTGCACTGGTGGACATATCCATTATTCTTATTGAGAACAAACTCAGAAGAAATTTGCAAATGAATGATGAAAAGAACACAGTTAAAAGAACAGGTGTTTGACAGTTCTCTGCTATGCTGTGTGAAACATGGGTTCATTTCGCTTTTTATCTCCTGTTTTTCATCCTGTCCCTTTCCAGCTGCTTACAGTCAGGCTGCCATCATTTTGCTGCGCATTTTGTTTGTTTCTTCAAATCTGCCATCTCTCTTCTTGATTTCTTTTGCAAAAAAAGTTGCCAAATTCATCTTACTTGTCCGACCTCGTCAGTAGAAAAGCCTCTTAACTTTGGTGTTTCTAGCTGAATCTCACATGGGTCCTAGAAAAGAACATGTCTGGAAGGAATGCCAACCTGTCTGTACTCTTATCTCCACCACAGTACAGGATCTGTATTTCTGTCAGTCCTGACAGAAGCTTTTTCAGCTGTTCTTTTCAAACCTCTCATGCTGGATTTCTCATGAATTCTATATGAGTTCTCTTACAGGACAGATGTGAATAAGGAATAGAGCTCAAGCTTTGTCTCATCTTCTTGCTGTTGGTAAAAGGCTTCTAGGGGGGTTAAATCATCTCTGAGGGGATAGTGCACTTGTTAAAAACCATGTAATTGAACAGGGGTTGTTCTTTCTTTAGGAGATGATGCTGACCTGGTCTGCTTCCTTTCTTGTAGAAATTTAGCAATCTGAAGGCAGATGACATTGAACAAATGCGTTTTAAACAAAGGCTAAAAGTGATCCAGTCTCTGGAGGATACAGCCAAGAAGAGTGTGGTATGTGACTCCCAGATTGAATGAGCTACCAGATGGCATATAAATGCAGTGTGTTTTGCTGTAAGCATCTAGAAAGTTTGCACTATAGCAAACCTAGTTTTGAGTGACTTACAGAATAGCAGTTCATGTGAAAAATGGATTTACTGGCTGTAATAATATATTTTCAGTTTTCTTACTTCACATGGTTCTCTTTAATCTAGTAAAATGGATTGAAGTGCGAGGGCATGATTGAATGAGATATTTGGCATGGAGGGAGATAAATGCCACTTGTAAGCCTTGTAATAGTCTCCATTGCCTAGTACTGTCTGTTTCATTACTTGCCTGGAACCTCTGAGAAAAGCTAGCCAGCAGGTACTTACTTACCTGCCACTTAAAGAGTATGCTAGTGCATGGCCAAAGGGGAGTGTCCATATCTATTGCAATTATCTGCCATGTTCTAGGTGGAGAATCTCATCCACAACTTTCTTTCACTGTTGTTTTTCAATACATCTAGGTCAAACATCTGAAGATAAAAGCAATAGGCAGGGACAACACAGTCTGCACAGTGAGGTCCCTGCATAAACAAGGAATAAGTGCAGCAATTTTTTCTAGGTGTTCCAAATGTCAGCAGTTTCTGCATGACCAGAAACTGTCTTCCTGACATATAATTCATAGCAGCAGGAAGTATTAGAATGGTTATGTTTTCCCTCCCATCTTGTGTCATATCACCTTGCACTTGTTTGTTTCTGTTCCATATTACACAGATTTTTCCATGAGTCATATTTAATTTTTCTAGCTTTGAAATAAAATTTTCACTCTATTTTCTCCCTAACTATAGGTTCGAGCTGTGTCAGGTGACATTGGTTTCTCTATTGAGGAACTAGAAGAGCTGTATGTAGTGTTCAAGGTAAGAAGCTGGAATGAAGAAGAATATGTTCTGACACAGAGAGAGCAAATATCAGAATAAATTGAAAGGGAAGAAATGACTTTGCTTTGATTTTTAATCCAGCCTATCAGAAACAGATGTGGCATTCTGTTATACATGGTGCCAGTACGACTGGCCATATTATGTTCTGGTTGATTATTATTTTTCCCCCGAAGATAGCCAAAACACATTTGCAGTATTTGAATGGTACTTATTCAGAAAGAGATTGTGGAGGCAATGGAAGAAATGACACACAGCACTTAGAACGGGGAGCTAGAATTGAGTATACCTCAGTTTTTGTTTTCAAGTTTGCCATTGATTTGATCTGTAATTGTGACAAAATTACTTAAGTGCTTTGCCTCTGTCTGTCAGTGTTTTTTTTAAAGGAGTGGTATTACCCAACTTCATTTACCAAGTCACTGCAAACTCAGTTGCATTGTGCTGGAGACTGAGAAAGAGAGGCTTAGTTCTTAAACTTGTTACAGTAAAGCCTGAGTGACATTTTGTTCAAACCTGAAATAATGGGGTTTGTATTTTTCACTTAAAGTTGTTCTTCGTGCTTTTCACAAAATCCCTGCCTCTTCCTTCATTTTGTATTATTTTGTAGTTAGGTAACACTGATAATAATGGGGAAGATAAACTGTGTGTCTTGGAATATCTCTCCTTTGCTTCCTGATGCTATTCTTGAGCTACAGCAAGTCTCCACTCCTTTGGACTGTTGTAGTGTAGTATAATCTGACCTTTTAATCCTTTCCCTCCAAAGGCAAAGTATCTGATGAGCTGTTACTGGGGAAATAACCGTGCTGCAGGTGCCCGCCGGGATCAGAGTTTACCCTACCTGGAGCAGTATCGCATCGACATGGACCAGTTCAAAGAGCTGTTCATCGCTTTGACCCCCTGGTCCTGTGGCGCACATACACCGGTGCTAGCGGGGCGTTTGTTCCGGCTTCTGGATGAGAACAGGGATTCTCTCATTAACTTCAAGGAGTTTGTCACAGGGATGAGTAAGTGGTGGGGTTTGGAGATGATATAACATTGCGAAACAGGTTTCTGTCCTTTTCCAAGCAGAGAACTGAAAGGAGATAGTGGTGTTTGCACTGTCACAAGGGGAGGGTGGCTGCCTTACAGTGAGGTTCACGAGAACAAACAATGCCTTTTTGCTGCTGCACTGTTTCCTGTTTTGGGAAACAGTTGGCAAAACAAAATGCAGCTTTGCTGTGGATTTCTTTAGTGCTTCTGCGCAGGCCTTTGTGTGGATATCATTTCCTCGTTGTATGTGAACTCATTCTGGTTTGAGCTTGTGAGCACAGGGTGATTCTTTATCCTAAGGGCTGTTTTTCTTAACCTTGCTTTTTTTCTTTGCAGGTGGGATGTACCATGGTGACCTTACTGAAAAACTCAAAGTACTGTACAAACTGCATCTGCCTCCTGGTGAGTGATTGCTATTGCTTCTCTATACTGCTACTGTTGAGCCTGGTGTGTCCTGACCTGCAGTTGAAAAGGGATGCCTCATGAATTTTGCTAATGAAGTGGGTGATAACTGCTGTTCAATTAGCTTGGAGATCTTAACATTTCCTTCTCTGTAAATACAGCTCTGAACCCAGAGGAGACAGAGTCTGCTTTGGAGGCCACAAGTTATTTCACAGAGGATGTTACAGCAGAAGGTAATACAACACTGCTGTCTTTACCTCTCAGATTAGGCAGGAGTTGCAGCATAAATCCATGTGCTATAAATAGTGATTTTGTGCAAAGCATGGTCTCGTGGCGGCAATAAGAGTATGTGAACTTGCTGTCTTTGTTGCATAATGGGAAAGAAGTTTGGAGCTTAAACTCCTCAGTGCCCATTTCATGCACAACACAGCATGCTCTGAATCACAGTCACAGACTGCTGAGGAGGTGCAGTGTGCTTTTACCAGCCCCTGTCTCCCACCATGATTTAGGTTTTTCATGCAAGTCTCATTGTCTCTCTCTTGTTTTTGTTTCCTTCTCTGTGTCTGTCTGTGTCTGGCCTTTACTTCTCTTTTATCTGGGATATTGTCCCCTCAAACCCTTTTTCTGCTGCTCAAGTATCTCCTTTTGTCTCAGAGCTGGATTTCTGCCTGCACTGTGAGTCTCAAGGTCAGTCCATGGATTATGTGCATGCATTGAGCATGGCTATCATGCTGATATCATCTGCTCACATCAGTGTGCTATTTTAAATACTCTGAAGTTGTAGCTGCTGCTCCTCTTTTCCTGACAGTCCCACTGTGAATAAAATGCTATGAGTAGTTAGATAGCTTTCAGTAGATTCTAACTATTGAGTTTCAAGCTAGATCAAAATAGGGTTTGTCCGTCTTTTTTTCCAGTGGAATTTGTCTCACCCTAGACATTGGCCGGTGGAAAATAAGCTCAGAGCAGAGCATGTGGGCTGCTGACCTGGGCAGATGACACCTGTGTCTACTCCATGATCTTCTAATTTAAAGGAATAATGATTCATGCCATTGTATTGTAAAACTGCTAGTAGACTAATTTACTGTATTTCTTAAAACATTATTTTAGGGGTTGTCAAATAGGAGGTCAAAATATGTCAATTGTGCTAAACATTTACCAAAATGCAATAGTGCTCCAAAAATAAAAATCTGAGTAAGTACAAGGGGTAATTGTACTGTTTGGTGCTGGGTGGCTAAGTGAACAGTCTGAGTTGAGCCAAGACTTTCTGTATAGTCTGGTGACAATATAGGGAAGCAGAAGCAAAGTTTGTGAAGTTAGACTCTGCTGATTGCTCCCGAAGTGTCAGTTAAGTCAGTGAATAATGGTGAGTGTAGATACTAGTCACATATGTGCTCAGTAGTCGTCTGGGGTTTTTCTGTTCATTATCTTGATTTGGATAACTGAACCTTTAAGCCATCGCATTGCTCAGCTGTCTTTCATATCTATGTTTCACCCTTCTTTTAAGAGTTCTGCCCTCTACCTCAGCTCTTCAATCCCCTTTTTCAGTGTGGCTTTTTACCCAGATCATCCCATCATCCTCTTGCTTCCATCCTGTTCTATTCACTCATCTAAGCACGATGTGGGACTGTCAGATCTATCCTAATATTAAACATATTCATGAGTTATGTTCTTCATGTACTGTATTGCTGAAAATCAGTTATTAACCATGATTTTTGAATTCCGTATTTTTTTTTAGAAACCCAAGAAGATAAAGGAAGGACAAATGAGAATGGTCCAGAAAAAGGTAATTCCATCATCAATAGAGACCACATTCTAGTCTTGTCACTCTCCTATTACGAACTGTTCATTGTCCTTTGCTGTATCAAGGAAACCTTTCAAAGTGTCCCTTGTGCACAGAGGTAGAGTGAGATGTGAGATGGGAAATAAAGCTTTCTCACGCCTTACTGCTCTGACTTTTACATACCAAGAGCATAACATTTGTAATTCATGTCTGGCAAGTTGTCAGCTCATAGAGTTCATTTAGGAGAAGTCAGACTGGTGCAGCAGTATTAACATTTTGCTCTACTGAGCTGGATCAGATAAACCAGCAGAAAACAATGCAGCCTTCCTGGTAGATGCTTTCCTAACTGTCAGTAAAACCATCTTCCAGCATGATTTTTGCTTGCACAGCGTTCACTTTTGAAGCCTGAAACCATTAACCACCTGACAATAGTGGCTTATTCTTGCCTTACAGAGGAGAAAGGTACCAGTCCACAGGACTACAGGTACTACCTAAGAATGTGGGCCAAGGAAAAAGAGTCCAGGAAAGAAACCATTAAAGATCTTCCCAAAATGAGCCAGGTAAGAAGTGAATGTGAAGGTTTCCAATTAGGTGACTGACAGCTTAGTGGGGAATTCAGCAGAATGTGCAGTCGTTTTGCCAGCATGCTCAGTCTTTGCCTGCTGTTTACCCTGCTGTTCTGGTCTGGTGAGCTTTAGAAGCCCCTAATTCCACATGTTTCTGTTGAATTTCCCAGTGGACATGGGCAAACTGCTTTCTTTCCACCAGTCAAATGTATTTGATCCTCTCTGCCTCCCAGAACAATTTTTCCTATAAGAACTGCAATCTGTGTTTTATCTCCAGAGCAGTTTCAAATGTGCCTTCAGTCGTATAAACTCGTTTGGCTTTTTTGGTTTTGCATTGCCTCAAGTTACAGCTGCTTGGTGAAGAGCAAAGAATGTGGTTACAGGAAAGATACTCTGATGACTGGTGTGATCTTTTCTGTCCCTAATTTCCTTGATGGGTGCTACTTAAACCGGTTTGGAAATGCTTAGAAGCTGGCCGCAAAAGAATAGCACGACTAGAAGTAAAATGTTAGGTTTTCTCAGATGTTCATTTGTCAGTATTAAAACTCCACCACTATGAAATTGCTAGCTGTGTCTCCATTTAGCCACTATAGCAGAGAAAGGAGTTTGCCTGCATTGGGCTGTTCTTAATCAGTACAGCAAATTGCCATTTACTTAGTAGGGAGGCAGATAAACAGTCTGCCAAGATGGTGCCTGTTGCTTAATCTGTTGCTTTGTTCAGCTTCATCACTTTGTCAGCTTTTTTGGTCTTTGTCTTTTAAAGGAACAATTCATAGAGTTATGCAAGACCCTTTACAACATGTTCAGTGAGGACCCAGTGGAGCAAGAGCTGTATCATGCCATTGCCACTGTAGCCAGTCTCCTTCTGCGAATTGGAGAGGTTGGGAAAAAGTTCTCCAACAGGCCCATGAGGAAGTCTGAGGACTGCAAAACAAACAATACCCAAGATCCTGTGAGTGAAGAGGAGTCACCAACATCTGAACAGAGTCAGAATTCAGCAGTTGAGCAGCAGCCCCAAGCTGACCATGAGGACAAAACCTGCAGAGATGCTCAGCCTGAAAAACCACAGCAGGAGAACCAAACTCTAGGAGATGCATCAGGGGAAGGACAAAGCTCTCCTTTACAGCTGCTATCAGATGATGAAACCAAAGATGATATGTCCATGTCTTCCTATTCCATGGTCAGCACAGGCTCCCTGCAGTGTGAAGACATTGCAGATGACACGGTCCTGGTTGGTTGTGAAGGCAGCAGTTCAGCTGCCAGGTATGGTAGCACCATTGACACTGACTGGTCTATCTCCTTTGAGCAGATCTTAGCTTCCATGCTGACGGAAGCAGCCCTTGTAAACTACTTTGAGAAGAAAGTCAACATTCTCCAAAAGATCAAAGATCAGAAGAAAGTAGAGAGGCAGTTCAGTTCATCCAGTGATTATGAACTTTCCTCCGTGTCAGGGTGAACTGGAGAAAGCAGGAATTGTCTTTGGGAGATGCAGCAGGGAGATAATGTGGCAGATGGCAGAACGGTTTGGTATTTTGTGTTTGGGGACTTTTTTGTTTAATCAGAGACCAGTAGCTACACAATTACAATAGATTCCAGTTGATAAGGGGCTTCTGACATCTGACAGTGACTTTTTTGTAGGTGCTTCTTTGGCTACTCTGGCTGGTGGAGTTAGGTCTATATTCTCAAGAGCCATTAGAACCTAGTAGCTCCTGACATACAGAATTACCACCATAAATTGTGCATGTCTGCCTTTTGCTGTCCTTTATTTTAATGAAGTTTTATTTCAGACAGTAACTGCTCCTTGCCTGCCCTTGTTTGCTGTAGGCTCCTGGGTAACTTGCACAGCAGATGCAGCCTGGCTTGAAACCATGTCCACCGCTGTCTGCCAGCCTGGGAGCTAACACAGTGTAGTCAAGTGCTGTAGGGCCCTGACCCAGAAATAGTCTTGTAAGTTCTTCAGTGCTGTTCTGTGACTCAGCAGCTCTAGTGCAAGTCAGCCCACTGCTCCCAGCACCCTCAGATCTAAACACGGACATTTCTCAGGTCTGCAGGTTTCTTTCAGATGGGATTTGGCATTTTCATAGTGTATGATCACGTTCTCCTTCAGCATTCAAGAGTTTTCAGACAAACCTGGTTTTCTAGCATTTCCTTTACTAATCCTTTGAAATCCATTGGTTTTGGTTTGCCTGGGAAGCCACAAGCTCCTTGACCTCAGTGCAGAGTAATATTAAGTCAATCAGTGGTCTTATGATGGTTATAGTGAGGGACTAAGTTCCTAAATTAGAAGGCGGTGAATCAGCCTGTGTTACAGGGCAGTGGCATGCTGGTCTGCTGGACTTTTCCTGTCAGTACAGGAAACATCCCTTGTCTCTTGTCTGTTCTCTATTTTTACTAGCTAATGATGGGTACAGTTTTTAGGAGGACCCCTAAGAACAGTCTGATCAGTCAACCCTTGCAAATTTGTGGGGCAGGGAGATGTGCAGGAGCATTGTATCACCTGCAGCTACTCAGTGTGTCCTTCCTGAGCATCTCCTGTACAAAGAGTCCAGCAGTGGACATGCTCTTAGAAATTCCTACTCATCAAAGGGCAATTACACTCAAAGAGGAAGAATTCAAAGCAGTGTGGCCCTCTGCCATCAGCCCTTTGTGGGAAATCTCGATAATAGACTAGATCTCTTTTCCAGTTAGAGACAAAATAACTGGGAGACTGAGTGACTGCTCTTTTAGATCAGTTAAGACCAGAAGAAACTAAGAGTTAGCTTTCTGGTAGTAGGGCATTACAGAAGTAATTCTGTTCCTACAGATAAATTCCTCTCAGTACACAGACATCTGCCTTGCAGGGCAGGAGTGAGAGCTAAGCCCGCACTGAAGGCAAGGTTTGCTACGGCTGTTGGCTGGGATTCAGAATGTGAAGGTTGGGAAGGACACGTACGGTTGGATGTTCCCATTTAACACTACTTGGCATGCTAATCGGTGTTAATTCCTCCTTGTGACAGTCTCTGTAGGTATTCACAGCTGGTACATATTCCTTATTTCTCTGCCTCCTGTGTCCTGCATCACTGGAGAGCAGCCATTAGTCAAACTGCTTTTACTAATTATTCAGTAATTTATTGTCATTTTTTAAATTACAAATAATACATGTGATTTTACACAGTCTGTCTGTCTCATGTCATGTACTCAATAAAGGAACCAGAATCCTACACACTATGACTCCTGTTTCTCTTAGCTTGTGGAGTATTGCTTGTATGCTGTCCATGGTGATTATCCAAAACAGCAGATGTGGAGTTCCATCTTTTTGTCTGTCTTTCCCTTTTTTTTTTTTTTGTTTTACCCATCTTTTTTCCCCATTTTATTTTTTCTTTATCCTTTTTCTTCATTTTTCTTTTCCTCTCCTCTCCTTTTTCCAATTTTATTTTCTTTTCATTCCTTTTTTTCTTCTTCTTTTCTTTCCCCTTCCTTTTCCCTCGTGTTCTGCCCTGCCCATTGAAGGCAGCTCAGCTCAGCTCAGCTCGGGCCGGGCCGGGCCGGGGGAGCTCTCGTTAAGCCGGTCCCGGCGGACGCTGCTGCACCCCCCTGTGCCCGCTGGAGCGCGTCCCCACCGGCCCGGGCCGCTCGCCTCCGGCAGGGGGCGGTCTCGGACGCGGCTGCGCTGTCACGTGTCCGGAAGGCGCGCGTTGCCATGGCGATGGCGGGATGGCGCCGCGGTACTGGGCGCTGCGGTGCTGCCGCTGCCGCCTGTTCCAGGTGCAGCAGGTGAGTGCGGGCCGGGCCGGGCCGGGAGCAGCGGGGAGCGGGCCGGGACTGACCCCTCCGCTCCTTCCTAGGCCAAGCGGAGCGGGAAGTGGAGCTGCGGCGTGTGCGGCCAGCGGCAGGCGGTGCAGAAGGTGAGGGGCCGGGGGGAGGCCTATGTGGGGGCAGCACCCAGCGAGGCGGAGGGGACGCCTGCGGGATGTTCTGGCTGCAATTAACACCTCAGCTGATTAAATCACCTGCGGTGGAGCCGCACGTCGTGTGTTTCCCTCAGCGTTGTGCTCCTTGTTCACAGCTTTACGGCCAAGGGTCTGCCCTGGACTGTAGACGCCATGTCCAGAAGCTAAACCTGCTGCAGGGTGAGGCAGAGGAAGCAATCGGGTGGACATCCCGGTACAGTGTTTAATCTTTACCTGCTCGTCTGTTTACATGTGCTACGGCTGAGGAGTACCTCTTAACACCTGGGGTGCCCGTTACCTAATTGGGGCTCATGGGAGGGTTTTACCTGTTGTAAAGTTATGGCACATGCTAGTTCTGTCATCCCCTCATAGGAATAAGCGATTTGTTTGGTTTAGTGCCCTGCCACATTTCTTGTGACAAGGATTTTTTTCCAGGTACGTTTATTTGATCAATAATGTGCGTTGCTCACACCTTTACCCATGAAAATGCATGCAGTAAAGTTCGGTTTTGGAAGGGTTTTTCTAATTGCCTTATTTACTGTTTGATGAGCTGACTGTGGAAATGCCCATCTCACAGACTGGCCTCAGTGCAGAGGTGCATCCTCAGACGAAAACGTCCTCCCCTCTGGGTGCTGCTGCTGGCACCAGGGGTTTCACACTGAATCTGTTGTGTAATTCCTGCTGCTATTGATAAAAATAAGACTTGTTTAGTGCGGATATTTGGGTGTTAATTCCTGCTGGGCTGGAAAATCTGGGTAGCACTTTCCTGTTTATTTCGTTCCCAAATCTGTTTACAAATCACCTGATCTTGAACCGGTCTTGACCTGCTCCAGCTTCCTTTTCACTCAAGGTTATTTCCAGAAAGCAGTCAAAGCTTGTTAGATAACTGAGTTGCGTAAATGCTGTGCTTCAGGGTTGAGCTTTGGGAGGAAAACTCCTTGTTTGTTCCCTTTATCAAAAAGGGTTATTCCTAGTCTCAAAACATTGTCAAATAACTTCCCTTTTTTCCATGGTAGCTTGGGATATCATTAGTGGGGTTTAACCTGTGCCCCAAAGACACACTGGGACATCGTGTCATAACATCCCTAGTTAAGAACAGTCAGAATTTATCATTTCATGATTAGCAGCTTTAGAGCAAACTTGTTACTGTGTTTGTATAGAAACTACAAAGTTTCTATAGAAAGCCATTCTCTAACTAGTGTTTTCACATATTTGGGCAAAATAGCTTGCAAATCCTTAATTTGACATAGCTTTTCTGTAGATCATTTATTTTTCTGACATGCTTCCTATCTAATCCCTTGTGCTGTGAGTAGGTGATTTGAGAATTATAAACCATCAGAGAGAAATGTGTTCTAGAAACTCTAAATCTCTCTTTTAGGTGCATAGAAGACTCTGTGAATGACAGCAAAAATACAGCAGCCCAACATGAAGACAGCTCAGTCCAGCAGGTAAGATACCTTCAAAGCTGAAGTAAATACCAACCCATACTGACCCAGGTGAATCACAGTGAAATTGGTGATCCCTTTATAAGGTTCAGACAGCTGAGATAGTGTATGTAATCAGAGAGAGAACAAGATGTGTACAGAAACTCTCTGTTCCACTGGGGCACTGAACGTAGGAACATGACACAGGAACATGTTCTAACTGACTTGTGATTTGAGGCATTCAGCACATACATAACAATGCTAAAAATGAGAACTCTGTATATTTCTGTTCTCAGTCATTTTCCAATCTTATAGGAGGGAAGGGCAGAAGTCAGTCGCTGGAGTAAATATTTGGACAAGAACAATGAAGATCAGGAAGATGGGGAGGAGGAGAGAGGTACAGAAAGGCAACAGTTCTGTTCCCGAAGGAAGAACACTGTGGAAGAACAAAGGTACAGAAAGACCTTTAAATTTTGGTAATTCCTGCCCCTGAGCGGTGACATTTGGTTTGGACATGTGGGAAGTAGCTCAGCTCTGACAGCTCAATAAAGTACAGGTTGTAGTGTACAACCAGAGCTGAGCAGGGATTTGGTATATGGGGATAAAACTTCTCTTATTGCTAGAGCCATGCATTTTGTGAACATTTCTGGTGACTTGTGAAATAAAATCACAGTGGAGCTAATCTGTCTCTTTGTGAATGGTTTTCTTGGCCAGGAACCAGAAGAGCTTCCTCTCCAGTGATGCTCAGGAGTACGCTGAAGAAAATGAAGTTTCCCAGCTTGCCTACCAAGCCAAAAAGGTTAAAAATGGTTATTTTAGTTGTAAAAGATGCTTCCTGCCAGTAAAGTAAAGCTTTCTCCTGACTTCTTTTATGTCATCATAATTTTGAATTTTTATGAGTCTTCCTCTGCTCTTCTATTTGAATGATTGAGGAAGAGAAAAGAAAAAGTCAGGGGTTTCTCTCTTGAGAGTTTTTAGTCAGGTAAAAATAATGCCACCTTGTGTAGGCTGAGTGGTTGAGCCAGATTCCTGCCTCAGCACAGCTTCATTCTGTGGTGCTTTGCCTTGTTGAGCAGTGGCACCTATGTAGTAATGCAGCGATTAAATTTACTGTGATGACCTGGAGCACCAGAAAGTTGACCTGGGTCTCCAAAGCCCAGAGCTCATAGGCCCACCCAGTGCACCAGCCCCAGCTCTGCCTCAGAGGGCTGGTGAGGATTCGGGTGCATTTGAAGGACCCGAGTGCTCTTTCTTTGCCTGCTTCTGTGCAGCTTGGTTGTGCATTCTGGATTTGTAACACAGCTCTCTTTCTTCTTACAGCACAAGAAATGTTCAGTAGCAGTGCCTGATCAAGATGATGGAGATGCTGTTTGTGGACACAGCATGGCTCCTGCTGTCTGTGAGCCCATAGTGCCTGAGAAGAATACACCAACCCCAAGTGCTTGTACCAAACCCTCCAAGTGGGAAAAATTTCTCTCACGTTCTAATAGCTACAGTGAAAATGCTGCCAGGATCACCTTATCACCACAGGAGGGCAGTGGAAGGTTGGGGCTACACAGCACGACTGCTGCAGATGCTGATACGGTCAGTAGATGCTCAGAACAGGCCCAAAGAACTCTATCTCAAGGTACAGGTTTTGAATTTAAAAAGTGTGTTGCTAGCACTGAGCAGATTGGCTCGAAACTGCCTGGCACCATGGTGCCCAGCATCTGTTGCTCAGCTGGGGAGGATGTGTTATTCAAAGAACCTCAAAGCCAATTGATAAGGGCAGGATCTGGTGTCATAGACACCACTGCAGGAAAGTGCTGTTCAGAAAGCACAAGGAGAGCAAACACCTTTGTTAACTGTAGCAATGGGCCAAAGCCTAGCATCATTTCTTGTGAACACCTCTTCTGCACAGGTGATGAGTTTGATGATGATCTCTGATTAAGTTCAGGCATGTTTGGCACTGCTTTCTTGTTTATCTCCGTAATGTAGTTGGTATGCCAAGTACTGAGGCAAGATTTACTGTAAGCATTGAAGGACTGCATTATTAAAGCTGTTTACTTGCTGCACGGCTGTGTCTGGGGGAAAGGCATGAGTGTGGAAGCAACTGTTGCAGGGGACAAGAACTAAGGTTATGGAGTGTTGTCCATCAACCTCATCAGTCAGAAATTAGAAGGGAAGTAGGTCAGCTTGGGAGGAGAAAGTGCCCAGGCTCTAAGGGTTCCAGGCCAGTACAATTAAATTCTGTGATTCATTCCTCATTATGAACTACAGCTTTTTTCTCCTGTATCACCTCTTTGTTGAGGTCTCCCTTAGCAACCCTTTCTTCCAGAGCAGGCTTCAGAACCAGCAAAGCATTTCATTCTCTTCAGCAGTGCAGCCCTAAGGGTACCCAGAGGTACCACAGCCCCAGGCTCCTTCCCTTCCATAGGGAGCTGCCTGCTGAAAGCAACACACTCTTAGCCTGGTCCCTCCACTTTTAACTTGGGTAGTTAAACACTCACAGACACTGATCACAGGAAGTAGTATTTATTTTTCCTCCATTCTACAAGCACTTAGAAACATGAGACAAACTCTTAGCAGGAAGAAAGATGAACCACTGAATGAGTTGTACTGTGTTGTCTGCTTTCAGTTAGAAGGAAAGTGCTTTGTGTTACACAGATTACTACAAGTGAGGTGGCTGCTTGGAATACTGGATAGCATCTAGTGCTGCCCCAATGTCGCAGTTCTTTGTCTGCAGGAGTCGAGTGAGCCATCCACCCTCATCAGAGAATCCCATGGAGAGCATCTGGGACAGAGACTCAATAAGGCGAGGGTCTGCTTCTGTTAAGAGAAGAGTAACTTAAAGTTGAAGCACTTCATGTAATTGGCAAAGTAGCCAAGGTAATACTCATATTAGGTAGGTTGGCACTAACCCTGGTAAATCTAGCATAGCTGATTAAAAGCTAGGAGACATGCTCCCCTTTGTCTAGTGGGAGGGAGATACTTGAGATAGGAGATATATCACCATACCCCCCATCACATGTATCACACTCAGCTGTAAGAAAACAGCTGAGCCAGACTCAGCTGGCCTTGCTGCAGGGCTGTGCACTGTTGATCTAGTTTAAGTGGCCTTGTATACTGTCACTGGCTCCAACCAAAATAATGCTGTCTTAAAGGCACACAAGGTACTAGTTCTTATTCTGCATCAAAAGGCTCTCTTGAAGAGTACACTGCAAGGACATGATTTAGGGTAACACCTTCTTTTATTTTTCTCAAATGGCATATTAGTCTAGGGGCAGAAGTCTTACTAAGACTCAGCTGCCCATATTCAAGAGGAGAACCAGGTGACTCTGTCTCTAACAGGATACAAGAGCTGCCATGCCTGCAGATACAGACAAGTTTAGCTGTACTGTATGTGACCTTAGTTTCTAGCATCTCTAAGAGCAGGTATGCTTATTCAGAGAAGTTGGCAGTTCCTGAGTGAAAATTACTCTCTCCATGAAACCTGTACACATTCTCATACCTGGTGGGAGATGTGGGTAGAGTGCAGCTTCTCGCAGTCCTGTAGGTCCTGGCTGGGGAGGATCCCGAGATACATCCAGGGAGCTGGGACCAGTCTCTGGCATTTGCAGGGACTGAAGTTCACCTGTGGAAGGATCTACTTCTTTGGAAGATAAATGGGTCCAGTCTTCATCACCCCCTGATGAACTGCTGGACTCACTCTGTTCCTGAAATGGAAAGAAAAAAGTCCAGATGCTGCAGTGCTTTCCAGGTAGGCTGCATGCTCCTGCTATCTGCCTTTCCACAAGAAATCCCAACACCTTTGCTGTAAACTTGTAAAGCAAAGGTGCTGTGTATCACTTAATCTGCTGGTATCTTAATATTCAATCCCACAATGCATGCTAAATAATGATCTTCCTTTTTAGTAAAGCCTCAGCAAGTAAGTTACTAAATTAGTGTCACAGTTCTTGTACCTGGGACTGGAAGCTGCCATCCTCCGTTTGTGTGGGCACAGGATCTATCACCATGTCTTGTATCTGCTCTGCAACAGTATTTACTTCTGCAGCAGGCTCTGTGTTATTCCAGTCTGGTTTGGTCTGAACATTCTGGTTAGAAGTACCACTGCTTGCCTCAGCATTGCTCTTCTCTTGATTGGGAGCAGCAGGAGTCACTTTGCTTCTCTGTCCTCCATGTTCCACATCAATATCAACTTCAATACCTAGAAGTGCATTTGAAATGGAGGAAGTCTTACAGCAATTTTTTCCAAAGCACAGTCTTAAATGAGCATGGATCAGTCCTCATCTAAACACTGTGAGATTTCTGTAATCATACAGTTTGCCATCTTACATGTAGCTAAGCACCAAACAGTCATCCTTTATCCTTTAGATAAGCCATATAGAGAGTCAAGGCAGGAGTCATCCATGTCTACTTGAGGCAGGCAAACTCCTGAGTCACCACTGACTTAACACTAGTGTTACAGTGGTGACATGTTAGTGAAATCTTTTATTTCCTCCCAAAGGGGGGCTCTGAAAAGGTACTGAGTGGCTGTTCTAAGCCTAGGCATTATTAGTACCAGGAGCAAATTAAGCCTCTGAGGCTTAGTAGGATGAGGTAGTTCTGGTATCAGTCCCAACAGCTGCCTGCTGCTGTTAAAAGGACCTTTAAGCCAGTCTCAGGGATTGGGATAACAAACTGTAAGCCACTTACCCAGGGGGCTCAGAAAAGCTGCCACACTCTCCCCAACATTCTTTAAGAAGGTGACATTGGGGTCCTGAGGCTGGCTGTTAGTAGAAGCTTCTAGAAAAACAACTTCTGTTAGCACACACAGATGCTCAGAGGGAAATAGCACCTACAGTTATCCCCATGAGATCTTGGTGCTCGCCTCCTGTCACTCACATACACTGACAACAGCAGCATAGAGACAAAAATCCAACTCTAAGCTACCTCTGGGACAGAAAGCCAGTGGCATTAGCATTGTTAAGGCTCATTAGCCATGCTGAAAGGCAGATCTGGAGTAGTGACATGCTTGACCTAACAGTTTGGCTTGGTTTGGTTCCAGATACTCTCCTCTATCAGCATCCTCATTGACTGCAGGGATCCAAGCATGCCTTAAAAATAATCCCATTCTGAAAGGTGCTAATTATTTCAAGCAAATTAGGTTAGCTCCTATGTCTATTTTTCCACCCACATTCTACCCTGTGCTGCAGAACCTCAGCTAGTCTGGTTCCACCACCACCCTGCTTACCAGGGCATCTCCTCTTACCTTCCCCAGTGGGTGGACTGGAGGCTGCAGTGCTGGCCTGGGCTTGTTCAGAGTTCTGGCATGGAGCAGCAGGGCCAGGATACCCCCAGCAGTGCATCCATGGGAAGGGGGGCACACCATGCCGCATTTTACGGAGCCAGCGTCCTCGGGGAAGCCACTGCAAGTAGAGTTCATGTGACTCTGTTCACACAGCCCCATTCTGAGTAATCTAAACTCAAGACTTAAATCTGAGGTAGTTCAGGAGTTCCCCTCCACAGATTTTACCCACCTCAAATGGATTCAGCAGTGGACTTTGGAACATCACCATGTTGTGCTCCTTGTGGATGCCTTTACCCTCGCAGGTGCTGCACAGGTCATAGTCTGGGCAGACAGCGCACTTGAACCTGGCACCCACAACCGGCCCCTCGCAGCCATCGCAGATCACGTTGGGGTGCACCATGTCACGGGGGGGCTCCTGGCTGCACTGCGAGCGATGCTCCCGCCTGCACTCCTTTTTCTCTATTAAGGGAAAGGAAACTTTGCATCAAGAACAGGTTACTATTTAAAGGTTGGAAATCAGGCAGAGGAGAAGGAAGCACAAGCAGCTCTTGTTGGTGCAGTATTGACTTACTAGGTCAGTTTATTTTTACACTGGCTGCCAAAGACAAGCTTGGGGGGGAGCATGTAAAAGAACTTCAACCAAGTGCAAAGGGGATCCACAAAGATACCTGCTCCTCTAAGTGGAGCATGCCTTATCTAGAATAAACATGCCAAGAGATGTGTTATGGATTAATGCTGTACTATCGAGTTTGGCTTCTCATCCTACCTTCCTAAGCACTACAAGAACAAAATGTTTTTGAGAGAGGGACCCAGGAAGAGATGCCAGGAGGCAGAACAGGGACAACAGCCACTGGCTTGTGTGGCTCATTAAAGGGACTGCAGATAAAGCTTTGCAGATATCCACAATAACAGAAGGGAGTGTCCAAGCACTCAATACACTGGAATTAAGGCTTCCTTATGCATTGTTGTGAATATTAAAGATACCAGGACTAGGCTCATGTTTCCAGGGAGCTAGTATGCAACAGTGGCTCACACTGGGCCAGCCAAGATGACAGGGCTAGGAGGAAACTTGTGATCTGCTTGCCCCACCTCAGCAGGAAGAATTCATATTCTGGTGTATTACCCTGCCCTTTATTTAACCTCCCCCCAAAACACCGCCGGTTCCACCAGGCCCTTGAGGACAAAGGGAAGGGTTGGTGCTGGTCTCTCCCATTTTCGGCACCCTGCCAGCAATGTGCCCAGCACGACATCGAGTCCTGCCGCCGCCCTTCGGGGCTGAGCGACGTTACCTTTGATGTAAACACGGAAGACGCCATCCTGCATGTAAGGCATCGCCATCTCCAGCTCCTCGTCGGTAGAAAACGCGATCAGGTCCCCGTCTTCATCTAAAAGAGCAAAACGCAGCATGAGGTGCCCGGTCAAGTGTCACAGCGGCAGCCCGTGCTGGGTACCCCGGGGGTGACAGCGGGGAGCCCGGTGCCCTGAGGCTTCCCCACCGCCGGGGCACCTCTCTCGGGGCCTGACCCACCGCCGTTCCCGCAGAGAAGCCACCCCCGGTCCCCGCTCACCCTTATAGTGCATGCGGAAGGCGGGCGGCGGCCCGGCCCGCAGCAGCCCCTGGAAGAGCTCGGCGATGCGGTCATGGATGGCCTGGTAGCGGACGGGCAGCGGCAGTGCAAAGCGGCGGATCTCGCGGGCCGCCTCCTCCTTGCCCAGCAGGTAGGCTTTCACCGTCAGCGCCGCCATGGCTGTGGCGCAGCAGGAATTGCCGCCGAGAGGCCGGGAACGGGTGAGCGACGGGGCGGTAGCGGGAGGCGGATCGGGAGCAGCGGGCTTATAGTGCCGCGGGGGTGGGGGCTCTCGCCCCGCCCACCGGCGGTAGGCTCCGCCCCCTGTGGGCCAGGCTCCGCCCCCTAGGCCCCGTTCGCGCCGCGGAGCTGCGGCCGGGGTGGTCCATAGGGGTCTAGGGGAGCGGGGCTGTGCTGTTCGGTGGAGCATCACCGGTGACCGGGCATTGGGGATCGAGTGCGGCGGTCACTGGGTAGTCACAGTGGCCTCCAAGACCCACTGGTGGGCAAACATGACTGCAGACGTGCAGCGCACCTCGGGGTCCGCTGGTCCCCATCGCCTGCGTTAGCTGGAGCAAGTGCTAACACAGCACTTGGCCACATTGGTCCTGTTCATCACCTTCATAATGCCAACCCGGCCAGGTGATGGAGGTGGGATCCCTGTGCCTGCCCCACTCTTGCTGGGTGACAGCACCCATCGGAGTGCTTCACATGCTCTGCGTGGCAGGAATAACTAACTCTTAGGCTAATGCTCTTCCCTGAACTTGGTGTTTCAGAAGGGGGGCTAAAAATAAAGATACTGATATAAACACAACTGACATTAAGGAGGATGTTCTGGGGGCTTTCCAAGCTGGTTGGCAGCAGTGCTCTCGTGCAGATCAGATACAGTTGACAGGCCTCTTAATCTGGCCATGGGAGTCCAGCTGGCAGAACACACCATCTGTGCCATCCAAGGGTAATTAAATAAAGATGGATCGATGATTATTAGGTGCCTCGTTGGTATTAATTCCCTCTCACCCAAGGGCCTGACCACTCTGACTATTGGTGACATATTTCTTGGTTTAAGATAATAAAAGCTCAGGAGAAACTGTAATGATTTACCATCTTCTGCAATCAAGCGAAGGAGAAGTTTTAATTGCCACAATGGGAAGGTAAGTTTTTTTCTTGACCTAAAGTATATATGTTAAAACACTTGGCCTTCCATATAGCTACATTTTTGTCATTGTGTGGCAATTTTGACATTGCATCACTTCTCTGGAAAACACTATTTACAATAAAAAGGTTGCCCTTTTAAACTTAAAACCTTTACTAGTATTTTCTAGGAACTTCAATTTCCAGGTATTGCATGGCAATATTCAACTGTGAAGCCATGTGTTTAAGTTTAAACATGAACAGATTCAGATTTAAGCATGATGATGTGGCACAGGGAACGATTCACCAGCTTTTACAGCACGAGATATTGAAAGGTTTGGGCACGTGTATCACATTCACCTTCCCTGTTTGCTGTGTGTATTCTTATTTCTGAAAGCGTTGGTGAAAGCTACTGACTTGACATCATTGGATTATTGCTTTTCTCTATAAAATGAGAAGAAAGGTTAGCAGTTGTAGGACATGCAGCACAGGACACTGCCAATGCTGACTCTGCCTTGCCAAGCAACACCTCCAGTGTGTCCATCTCACACTGTTTCTGAGGACCCTGATGGCCGCTTTTGGTCTTGTTTGTAGAGAAAGAGATTTGTATTTTGGGACCCAGCCCCAGCACATCCTTTCCTTAGGAAAGGTTGCTGCCACCTTAGACAGGACTGATTGCCTATTCCCCTCTCCATCACGCCTGGGTGTTTGAGGCACAGTGGGTTGTCCTCAAATTGCTGGGTCTTTTCAAGCCACTTGTGTCTCCACATTAATCAATGCATTTATCAGGTGATGCACGAAATTGAAATCAGAAATCTAAGCTTTCCTCCACGTGAACCTTAATCCAGTTGGCAAACATGGAAGCGGCCAAAAGCCAGAGGGAATTTCCCTCCTCCTGGTGAGAATGCTGAGTCACGCTCAGCTCTCCGGCGGTGACACCATGCACTTTAACAAAACATAAGGAAAACAAGGCTTTCACCAGGCTGCTGTGAGCTTACCTCACCCGTCACGGGACACGGCTGACTCGGTGAGTCATCTCCTTCTCTTCCTCCTCGAGGTCGGGGATTTCCTCCCAGCAAGCTCTTCTCTGGTCCAGACCTTGGACCTCCCTCTCCCTGCGTTTCCTATTGCCCCCAGCCCTGAGATGTGCCTCTGGGCAGTTTCTCAGCCCCCCGTGGAGGCTGTGTGAGCAGCTGGGCTGTATTCCCACAGATGTTGAGATGTTTTTCCCTCTGTTTGCTGGAGGATCCGGGTTTTGGCATTCTCAGCGTGAAGCTCTGGCTGTGTGGATGTTTTCTTATGGTTCTTTAGGAATCCCATAGCATCACAGCAACCCCTGCTCAAAAAGTGTTTTCTCAGCCCTTGATGCTGAGCACCCAGCTTCGCAGGTGGATGTGGCAAAGGAACAGCAAAAGGGGTGGGGAAAAAAAGCTGTTTGAGTTTTAAATTTCAAATGTATAGAGGAAAGGCTCAAAAAAGGAGCAATGAGTGTCCCTGCAGTGCTCTGCTTTCTCTCTACACCCACTTTCTGCTGGGAAGTGTTTATAAACGTTTGGTGAGGTTCTTGCTCTGCAGGCACGATCACCAGAATGCTCCTTATGGCCAAACTTTCATGTTCACAGTAAAGCCCTGACAGGATGAAGGCTGGGGGGTCTATTCCTCGATTGCAAATCACCGTAGAGGCTGGTGATGTTCCAGAGGGAATTCTTCCCTAAATCATTGCCCCAGCCTGAGGCCCAAATCACTGCCCTGGCACTCTTGGTGAGGAGGGGAAGGTTTGTCCTGTGTGTTCCCACAGCTCTGGCAGTGATAAGTGGTGATGGAGGGACAGCGCAGAGCCCCAGCGGGTGGGTGCTCACTGGACTGGACTGGGTACTGCAGACCACACGCTCCTTCCAGATGCTTCTGGAGAGGTGCAGGATGCTCTGGACACATCAGTCAGATGGCAGTGACTCAGCTTGATCCCATGATGGTTTTCCTCCTCCTCCAGCCCAGTGAAAACAACTCGGTGCCTCTGAAGCAGAAACTGTCCTTCCTCAGCTGCGCAGGCAGAAGGGAAAGCTGGGAGGGTTTATTTTTGCTGTCTCATTTTTGAGGTTGAGTCTTTCTGAAGGTTAGCTCTGCCACGTCAGGTGTTTACCCAGGCTCAGCACCACTTCTCATTGGTGCGACATGTAACTTTTAAGGGCAGGAAACTCTGGGACGGTGCTTTCACTGAGACAGAGGAGCAGACAGGGAAAACACTTGGAAAGCAGGCACAAAGCACAAGCACACTGCGGGCGGCGTGAAAATACTGAAGGTTTTCATGTTCCCAAAAGCGTGCAGGAATGCCTTGCAGCCTACACAAATTGCTTGGGGTGAATGTTGCACTGAGAACCTGATGTGTGGCTTTTGCCCTGAATTAAAGCATCAGCATGTCAACACAGCCAAGGTAAACACCCTGTTGTGATCTTCATCTCTGGTGGCTAAGGAGAATTTAGAACACTTCACAGCAGCCTATAAGACATACAGAAAATGAAGTTACTTTGGTTTATGAGACAAACAGCAAGTGCTGTTTGCCTAGGGAGGACTGAGCCCGAACTGCTCAAACTCCAGAGCCAAGCTCTTTAGCGAGCTAGATAAAATCAGCTACAAACCTGGATTACATTCCCTATCTAGGCCTAACAAATGTTTTCTCTTTCTAATTTCTGTAATGGCCTCAGGACCTCTGGGCTGCTTTCGGAGTGCTCTCCATGGAAGGCCCCTTATTTCTGCAGCATGCTCAGTATTGCCAACATCAACTGTTCAAAGATCATGAGATCGCCTTAAAACAACCGTCTTCTCTCTGTTTATTTGCTGCTGGGGTTTTGAGTCTCTGCAGTTCATATTTTAGACTTTGACCGAGACTCAAAGTTTGCTTGTTAAAAACAGAATAAAAGCCAAAACTGGGATAAAGGGAGGGATTTCAAGAATAAAAGGGAACTTTGCAGGTCTGAGAGAAAGATCACAAGCGCTGGCAGTTTTGCTTAGTCCCTCGTTTTTCACAAGAGAGCCCAAGGTTTCTGTCATGCGAGGGTGCTATAAAGCTCATTCATTTCTTCAGACTTTTATGAAGACAAAATGTAACAGCAGAAATGAGATTAAGCTTTATCCTTGGGAAAGAGCCTAATTAATTGTCTTGGAGAAATTATTAATGCTATTCTGTTCTCTTCCGCTGCAGACACACCACATACCCCGGGTGGCAGGAGCGTTTTGCACCTCTGAAAATAAACCAGCTAACATCTAATGCTCTAAAACGTGTCATGTTATCTCCCTAAACTCTGTCACAGTGGTAGGATTTCATGCGCCTTTCCCACCAGCAGCTCTTGCTTGTCTGCAGCCTCTGGGGAGGGGGAGAAGTTGCCATTAATTCCTGTGAACCCTCTGTGTTTAACACAGGTTTAAGGCGAGAAAGCATGCGGGCTGGGTGGGACAGAGCTTCTGGGGCTTGTTTTCTTTGCTCTGCTGGTGAAAATGCTGTCGGTGGGATGTGCTGCTGGCTCGTGTTCTGTGGTGATGGTCACTTGGGCAATGCCTTGCAAAATCCAGGGGAGGAAGCACAGATTCCTCATTCCTTTCAGTATTCCCAAGAGTGATGTTCAGTGCATTGCCTCACTCAGGGATGTGCCCGGTGTGAGCCCTGCAGCTCCTGGCTGGCTTCTGGCAGTGGAGGCAGAAGCCTGGTGCCATCCAAAGGGCTCCCTCTGCCGATTTCCTTCCTGCATTTTCTAGTCACTGGGAGAGACTGTTTCGGGTTGAAAAATGTGTTTTATTTCATAAACTAGAGAAGAGTCCAAGGATGCAGCAGACACGACCATCCCTGCAGAAATGGGTGATCCCTACTTTTCTTCCTACACACGTGTGGCTTTCAGCTCCTCAAGGCAGCCCCTGGGTGCTGAGCTCCCTTTGCCTTTCCAGAAGGAAATGGGGTAGAGGCCTGAGGACCCATTTGATGGATTTCCCCATCTCAGAAGGATTCCCATGTCAGCTGGAGTGCTGCCGGGAGGAAACATGCCCATGGAGCATGGATGGCTCCCAGCACATCCCTGCTGGCTATTTCAGCTCCAAGGCTGCAGCCGAGCATCTCTGAGTGCCTGGATCCCCAT